ATGCGAATCCCGAGTGTCATGAGATACTCCAAAGCATTGCTGGACCCAGCGGGGACAAACTGTGACGCTACTGGCCCTCTCCTCTGCCCCCTCCTGGAACGCCCTCATGTCCCAGAGGGGTGAAAACCATGATTTCGTGATTCTGCAGCTCCTCTTCTCCGACGCACGCGGGGTCCGGGGATCGCACCGCATCGCTTACGCACAGGCAGCGTCAGGATGGAGAACACCGGCCCTCGACCTGCACCTTCCGCACATTCCGCGCGGAAGGTACCGCCGCGATGCCGCCGCGGCAGCTGCCGCGCGAACGGGGCGGACCTGCTCGGAAGCCACTCGGGAGGCCTGGGCCTCCCCCGAGCTCCAACGCCGCGAATTGATCACACAGAAGGCGCCAAAAGGACTGGGAGCGCAACGAGCTGCACAAGCGAAACCCTCGACATGCACCTTCCGCCCCTTCCGCGCGGTAGCTGCCGCGCTGCCGCGGCCGCCGCCGCGGCCGCAGCAGCGGCCACCGTCAAGGCCGCAGCGGCGGCCGCCGCGGCGGTATCGCGGCGGAACCTTCCGAGCGGAAGGGGCAGAAGGTGCAGGTCGAGGAGAAAAACAAACTGCACAAGCCACATACTGGAGGAACTCCACGCGAGGCTCCGACAGCTGATGTCGATGCAACTTGGTCTTCTCTGACTTGCCGACTCCAGGGGCACGGCGAGGGCCCCTAGGGGCCGACGACTGCCAAAGACCTCTCACCGAGACCCCCCGAGGATATGCCTTCAACGCGCGGCCCCAAGGGTCCCTTCCCCCTTCCCTGGGGGGGGACAGTTTTTCGCCCTGAATCTATGTTTGAATGTCCCCTCAATAATGGGGCCTGGCCAGAGTTCCAGAGGCCGAGATCCAGGAAACACTTTTTGGTTGGCAGTGCTGGCGGACGCGAGCGCGACTGCAGAACCAGCGAGCCGCGCCGAGCACCGAGCGCAGTCGAGCGGATGGAAACGCAAAGAACGCCCGAGTTGGAAACAAAAACAAGTCGTCGGAGGTCCGCGCCGCCGCGATAGGAAGAAGGACATGCAGCACCACCACCAGGGACCACCGGCGGGAGGAGCCAGGGAGGGGTCCTCCTGGTGGCGTGCCCCCCCCCCCTCCCACTCCTCGCTCGAGACATCCCCTTTCCCCAGCTCGGTTAGGCGTCGTCGTCCTCCTCCCTGGAGGTGCCCTCCCTGGTGGTGGCGGTGTCGCGACTCCTTCCCCCGACTGCGACGCAAACACACACACACACACACTCCCCTCCCTGAGATCCGACATTGCGAAAATGCGACTTCGCGAAAAATCACGACTGGAGCCCTACAGCCAATCCCCCGTATAATGAGGACGCACGCTAAGGATGCAAGGGCATTGGAGGGTCATGCCGACACTTTCCGAGCGGGGCGCGGCCAGCGAAAGTGGCAACGGATGCGCCGGAGGGGAAGGATGCAAGGGTACTTTGGGTTTCTTAATAAGCGTGGGGGGGTACCCCCCCGACGGGGGTCAACCTCGCCTCGTCGTCGCGCCGCGACGGGGGTCGGAGCGCCTTCGGCGCGCGATGGCTGCACGCGACGGGGGTCGATGTGGGGCTGTCGGCGGGGGTGATGCCCCCCCCGACGCTCCAGCCCCTAAGCCCGAGCCTGGGCGAAAACTCGGGCTGCGGAGCATTGCAGCGCGCGGGCCTCAGGGCCGCTGCGAGGCGGGGATATCTCCACATCCACCCCGACAAGCGAAGCCTTTTAGTAAACGCGCCCAAGGGAGGAATCGAACAAGGCGGGGCTGCTTAGTATACGCCCCGGGCCGTTCAGTGAACGTCAACTGTCGGGTCCCGGGTGCTTCTTCCTCCCTGGAAGATGGGCCCCGGGGGGCCCGAAGGTGTGACCCACCGCCTGCCGAGGCCCCGCGATGATTCGGCCCAACTTCCCGCCTCGGAGTCGCGCCCTTCCCCTCCGCCGAGCCTGCGCGGCCGCGCCGTCCCTCGGCCCGCGCCGCATGCGCGCGCTCGGCGCGGGCGGCGCCCCCGCCGGGCGCGCCGAGGCCGCGGCCGCCCCGTCGCGGCCGGCCGGCGGAGCGCAGCAGGCAACCGCTGGGCGCGCGCGCAGCGCTGGGCCGCCAAGGGCTCTCCTGTCGGAGGGAACCCTTGCACCGGAATGGGCTCCGCAAAAGAGGGTCCCTGCGCCGGAGTGACCTTTGGTTCGGATTGCTCCCCTCGTCCCTATACGGGCCAGAACCCAGATATCATGTCGAGCACCCAGAGAAATATCGAAACAGTGACTGCCCGACACGAGGGCGGAGTGTCGAACGAGCATCGCTTCCCAGAGGGCCCGACACGTGAAAACCCTGTGGTTTCGGCACTTCCCTGGTGCTCGAACTTATTTTTCTTCGAATGGTCAAGGCTAACGTAGGCTGGAACATCATAGCCTTTGGTGCGGGCTCATAGGGGTCTCGCCAGCGGTAGACTGCGCGCTCGGATTTGGCACCCCTGCTGCCCCCCAAAACCGCGCACCGCAAGTCACTCTTGCCTACCCTCGACCTGCACCTTCCGCACCACCTGCCGCGCGGAAGGTGCCGCCGCCGGCCGCCGCTGCGGCCTCGACGGTGACCGCCGCTGCGGCGCGCGGCGGCGTCCGTGGCAGCGCGGCGGCGGCCGCGGCAGCGCGGCAGCCACCGCGCGGAAGGGCGGACCGATACCGCTGCCCGTCCTGAAGACCCTCGTGGTGAAGCTTCGGGCTGCCCGCTGACGGCCCCACCAGGAAGGCCTGGCTGGCCTCAGAAGTCCGGGGCGGTCTCCGCACCCCAACCATGGGACCATGGGGCGCGGAGCGCCCCCTGGGCGGCGCCGGAGGCGGCGCCGGGGTCTTGGGACCGCCCCGTGCTACTCGGGGGGCCTGTAGAGGCAAGGCCTGCTGAGGCCAGCCGGGACTACGTTGGGGGGGGGGGGCTGTCTGCGCGCAACCCGAAGCCTTCTCAACTCTCGTCGCCGAGGAGGCATTCTCCTCAGAATTCTGGGGGCTGTACGCGCGCAGCTCGAAGCCTTACCAAACCCTCGCCGCCACGGCTGCATTCCCATTGGAGTTCTTGCAGAACGCACCCCTGGAGAGGCCCGGGGAGTAGCGGTGTCCACGGCTCTTGGTTCCCCCCGTCCTGCGCCTGCCTCTCGGGGCTTCCTGGGCACCCCTGGGGCCGCTCGGGGCTTCCGGGGGCCCCCGAGGCGCTCTGGGAGCCCCGCGGGGCCTCCCCGGCACTGCCGCGGGGGCCTCCTAGGGCCTCCGGGGGCCTGGGCACCCACGGGCACGCGTACAGCACGGCGAGGGCCAGGAGGATCAGCCTGCAGCAGCTCGCTGCGGGCCGCGCTCCAGCGGGCGTCCGTCGGGTACGTGGTCAGCATTGCCAGGTTTGCCGAAAGCAAGGCCAGCGTCAGGGGCCTGACCGGCAGCGGCGAGCCGTCGAAAGGGCAGTGAGATACGCGACCCGCGCGATAGCGAAGCGCGGAGAGTACGGATAGCGACTGTTCGCCATCTCTGAACAGAGAAATTGAGTTGCTGCTTGTTGATGTTTGGGGCATCAGGCCACAGGTAACCCCAGCTTGGCCGACTCGGGAGGAAAACGCTGCGGTGTTCGGCACCTGGGAAGGATGAGGGTGTTCAGAGGTTCTGGGGGGGGTCAGGGGCAGGAGCGGTCAGCGTCGAGTCGGGAAGTCGGAACGAATCGGGCCTTGCATCGAATCGGACCGCGTCGTCGAGGAGTCGGAATCGAATCGGATCGGCCGCGCCAGGATGCACAACAGCGCCTTGCAAGCATCGGGCCGCATCGGATCGTCGGAGTATCGCGATCGAATCGGATCCGGCCGATCGAAAGCGGCATTGATTGAATCGGATCGATCAGGTAGGAATGGGCCGACAGGTGGTTCCGTCCCACGTCGGCCTCCCAGGAGCTGCACCCTGCATGGCTGGAGATCGAGGCGGGGTCTTATTCACATCCACCGCCTGGGTAGCCGATGCCCTGGGACCTCACAGGGCGGGGGATGCGGGTATATCATGGCATGCTGGCCCCAGGGGACCAGAATTTGTGTAGGAGATCGACTACGCAATCGATCTACCCAAAAATCCATATGTTTCGCCGAATAGGTGCAACAATGCCTAGTTTGTTCGCAGATCTACAAAACATTATACTTTTTTTCGCTGACTCGACAAACAAATCAATTCTGAGGCAAACAATCCTCTACTTGAGAAGTACCAAGAAGATCCGCCGACTACAGGGCGTCCAGGGAAATCGGTTTACCAGGCGGTGGATATGGATGAACCCAGCCTCGGATCCCAGAGGATCAAAAACACACGTCTCGGATGTCGAACCTCCACCATGTGCGATATAATCATCCACGATGGAGAATGCAAGCTTCAAGAATGGAGGTCAGAATTCACTTTAAAGCTTTTTTGCCCTCTGGGATGGAAGACAGGCGGGCAGGCGGGAATCACTAAAGGGGAACGAGAGCCGGGGACTGGCCCAGGGGGGAAACCTCGATCTAGAATCGGCGATAAATCGAGGAAGATCCGCGATAGGTCCCCGATAGCGAATCCGCACGTTCCACGGCGGAGAAAGAGAAGACCCGCAGTCTTCTAGATAGCACCCCCCCGTGCTTAAACCCCATACGACCTGCGGGCCGCAGCCCCTGAAAGGAAAGCCAAGGCTCCGATAGCCGCTCCCAGCCACCTTCGCGGGCGGGCGCTTGCACGGCTACCACGAATTTTGCAGCGCAGAGGGAGCGAGGAGGAGGGGGAGGAGAACGACCCAAATGGAGACCTCTCAGCGATGCTTTGGCGATTGGGGGCCGATGCATCCCCCTCTGAGCCTTCTCCCCCTCCTGACCTTGCCCCCAAGATAGGAGGGCGGCAATCAATCAATCAATCAATCAATCAATCAATCACGCCGTGTCTGCACGACACATCGGCGGCGATGTTCCTCCGCCGGCGCGCGCGCGGGGCGGCGGCCTGGGACATGCCGTTCCCGAGCATGGCGTAGCCAGACATGGGGGCCTCCGCACGCGGGTGCCAGAGAGGGGCGGCCAGACCCAGACCCCTGGCGCAGTGTGTCTCCTGCTTGGGTGTATAGCCTGCCAGCGTGTGTTCTCCTCCATGGGGACGGGTGGGGGAGTCGTCAATGTCATCGTCGTCGTCCTCCTCCTCCTCCTCCTCCTCCTTCTCCTCCTCCTCCTCCTCCTCCTCCTTCTCCATCTCCTCCTCCTCATCATTTTTTGCGTTGGGCGCACTCTAGATGCGTGGCCTGTAGCGTCGCCGTCCTCCTCCTCCACCTCCTCCTGTCAGCAGAACCCAAACGGCGTCCGACCAAATGGGATCGGAGGATCGCGGCCCATCGCCTCTGCAACGACGATGTATTCGGCGACGTCTGCGGAGCACCGGCGCCGTCGGCGATGCATCGGCGCCGCTGGCGCGGAGAAAATCGGGTTCCACATCGAGCCGCATCGCCGACGCAGGTACGCGGGCGATGCGACGCGATCTTCTGACCTCATTGACTCGGCCTCAAGTTTAGAGGCCTGGACTTATCGGGCCCCCGGGACCGACAAGCACACAGCGAGCCCCGCCCAAACTCATAATGTCAGCGCCTTGATACTCGAACCTCCTACAACCTCCCAAACCTTCCCCTCTCCCCGACATCAAGATTTCTTCATGACGTGAGCCCTGGAACTCTGGATAGCTCCCCCCCTGGGCCGACTTCCTCCTCGTGGGCCGACCTTGCACATGTATATCTTTGGACCAGAAAATAAATCCAAGAGGAAAGCACTAAAGAGACACATGTCCCGTCCGAAGTCCAAACCCTCCCGTCCGCCCCCCCTCCTCTTTTGCCAAGGGCCTTCGAGGGAATGGGTCCTGAGCCCCGGAAATTCCCCCGAAGGCCGGCCTTTTCCCCCCGACCGGTTTTTGGACAGGCACTTCTTCCTTCCACGCCCTGCTTTTCACGGCGGCCCTCCTGATCCGGCGCCGTGCAAAACCACATCGACCTGGAAGCTCAGCGCCTGAACTCTCAGCCACGCCCCGAGATCCGATGTCACGACACATTCAACATCTTAGGCAATGGCGACTTCCACTGTGAGCTCTTCCTTGTCTGCGGCATCTGAGCCAAATCGATTCGTGAGGGTCTTTGGGCCCGAAACTGTGCGAAAATGCCGCGGTGCGACAAATTGCTCAAATCTCAGAACAAACCAACAAAAATGTCCGCCTCACTTTTCGAGTCCAGGCCGTCCCAATGACCAGAGACGGGACAAAGGCGCCCCTGGTGTTCTGAACCGCGACATCTAGATTCATCCGTCCTCCTCGCACGCACCCCAGTATGAAGGCCAGCCATAATCGACGACCAACCAAGCCTGCTGCAGCAACGCGGCCCGACCGGCTCGGGCCGAACCGTCCACATGCAAAGCAGTCGCCGAACCGCGGCGCAACCTGCAGTTATAGAAGGCAGAAGCGAGCTGTGGAGATACCCCTCCCATTGGGGGACGTCAGCTGACCAGCTCGCCGATCCTGGACGGGCCCATCTGGGTCCCAGGATCGGTGTCTGCGCTTCCTGGACCTTGCCGCGAGGGAGGCCCCTACGCCGCTCGGGCTACCTGCTGAAGCATCTCAGAGATGTCCCTGTCCTTCGTGGGCGGCGTCGAGGACACGCGGTGGTGGATAGATGCACACCGAGGTGCTCGGGAATTTAGGGCTCAGGGTTTAGGGTTTCTGGGCGGGCCGGGCCAGGATCGGTGAGGTGGCCAACGGGCGCGACGTCCCCCGATCCGCCTCCCGCCCCAGAGGAGGGAGGAGGGAGGAGGGTCGGGGTGGAGGGAGGAGAGAGGAGGGAGGAGACGACGAAGACGACGACGACGACGAAAACGACCTCCCCTCGGCGCCCCCCTAGACGGGCAGAGGGCCACAGCGGCTTGCCTGCTGGGCCGTGGCGAGCGCCTCGGCGGCTGGGCGGAGAGGGGGCGACGCGCGCGGTCGGCAACGGAGGCGGCTCGGCCGAAGGGGGGGCGCATGGGACGCACAGAGACATACTAATACTATATGTCCTCCTTGGAGGCGCGCGTCCGACCCGAACATGTAGTATACCCATTTTGTAGTGTATCGTTTCCCGAGCGGTATGGCCAGAAAGCGCCCGCCACGCCGCATATGCAACAAGATTTCTCGGTGCGCGCGTCGCCCCTGTGGGGGGGGCGACGCACATACAGTATAAGTATGCTGGGGTGACGCCGAAAAGGGGGGGCGCAGGCCCTGGCCATGACAGCCTCGGCGGCGACGGCAACGAAACCGCCGTCGGCCGTGATTGCTGCGTGCAGCCGAATCCAGGAATCCTGGCGCTCAGGCGCTCGATGCGTTTCACAACGAGAGCTGTCGCCAGGCCCGGGCCCCTGGGCCGTCACGGATCGGTCTAGCTCGGAAAAACAACAACAGAAATATTGGGTCTGGGGCTCTCGAGCCGTGATGTTTCGCGATGGTGTTTTTGTCGCAACGTCGGATCTCAAGGACTCCCGAAGACAAAAATGCTGATGTCGCATTCCAATTCGGGGACGCGCTAACCCTGGCCAGCGCAAACACTGGTCTGCCAGGCCCACGTCGCGAGTGCAGGCCGGCCCACAAAGTAGCCCCCAAACCTAGGTCAGCGGAGGGCAGGGGAGCGGGGTCGGCTCCAAGTGGCTTCCGACACGCGTCAGCCAGAGGATCTCGGAGGGATTGGCTCACCCCCGTTAGCGCTGATCCCCTTTACGTGAGCCCCGACCAACGTTCGCCGGTCTGCCGCCAACAGACCCGCCGCCGATTCGCTGCCATCCGCTTTTCCCGCCAGAGGCAAGACGTGCCGAGAGAAAGAGCACTCTGGAACGCCCTGATTACTCCAGGCTTCCGCAACCTCGACGACGACGACGACGCCGCCTACGGGAACAACGACGACAACGACGAGAACAACGACGACGACGACGACGAAGAAAACGCTGAAGAGGTCGACGAAAACGACGCCGACGTTAAAGGCGACGCGAACGACGACGACGACGAACACGACGACGAAAACGACGACGACGACGAGAACGACCACGACCACGACGACGACGATGATGACGACGAGAGCGACCACGATCACGACGACGAGACCGACCTCGACCTCGACCTCGACGACGGCGACGACGACGACAACGCGACGACGACAACGACAATAACGACGACGACGCCGAGGAGGACGAGCCAGGAGCGAGAGCAGCGGAGCCACGGAGGGAAGGCCGATCCGAGCCGCGACGGGAGGCAAGGCCTGACAGGAGGCGCGGCTGGACCGGAGGCGGGGCTCCTGGGAGCGACTCTGTGGAGCGACCCTGTGGAACGACCCTGTGGAGCGACCCTGTGGAACGGAGGCGGGGCTCCTGGGAGCGACTCTGTGGAACGACCCTGAGGAACGACTCCGTGGGCTCGGGGGCGCGCGGCGCGCTCCCCCCGCCTCTCCGTGCGCCGCTTCCGGGCCCAGGGGCTCCGGAAATCCACGCCTCCACAGGAGCCTCCCCCCCTCCGCCTACCCCCCCCCTGCGCGCGTCGTGCCCCCCCGCCTCTCGCGTGGCGGTGGGCGGGCGGCCGAGCCGAGCGCGGCGGGCCCTCTCAGCCGGCCTCTGCCCCGCCCGAGCGCCTCGCGCCACGGCCGCGGCCTCGAGCCTCGGCCGAGCGCTGCCCGCCAGTGGCCGCCCCGCGCCGCGGGCAGCCAGAGGCCTCCCGGCGGCTGCCTGGCCGCGGCCTCCTGCAGCCGCGAGCGCGCCCTCCTGCAGCTGCGCATGCCGGCTGCGGCGAGAGCGTGAGCAGCGTGCGGCTGCGCGGCTCGCTGGCCGTTCGCTCGTGGGCAAGCTGGTCGTCCTCTCGGCCCGGCCCCAGCTGGCATGGCAAGGCTCTGGAATTCCGCAGCCGCCAAGGGCCTCTTCGCTGCGGGGGGGGCGCTGCCTGCCTGTCGGCCTCGCCTCCGCTGCGCACCTGCGCTGGCCGCACTTGGTTCTGTGAGGCCTGCTGCCGCTGCGCTGCGAGGGCGACGAATTCAGCCTTCCAGGCCGCTCGGGTGTTGGCCGCCTCCGCGCGCGTCCTCTGCTGGCCAAGCCTCCATTGCCTGCGGTCCTGCGGTTCTGCCTGCGCCGTTCCTGGAGGCCCACTTCGCGGCGTCGTTGTCGGACCAGGCGGGGGCGAGCGGGGCCGAGTCCTCGTCGGCATGGACGTGGCTGGCTCTCCGCAGAAGTTCTCGCCACCAGCGCGTGAACTTCCGCGGCTCGGGCTCGTGCGCCGCTGCTCGGCCCCTGGGGCGCGGGCCCCTGCGCCTGGCGGGCTCGCTGGGGAGCCGCGCCCCCTTGACCCTAGAAAGAAAGCAGGACGTACGGCGCGCGCATGGCCTGCCAGTGCGGGCAGCTCTCGTGGCCAGCCGCTGGCAGCGACCAGCTGGCGAGGTCGTTCATCGCCTGCTGCGGACTGCGCGCTCTTGCATGGGCAGCGCCGGCATGTGGCCTCGGCCCCAGGTCGCACCTGACCAGGCCTCCTAGATGGGGTCGGAATACGTAGATGCGGTCGGAACATCGCGCCGCATCGCCGATACATCGGCGATGCATCGGCGATGCATCGGCGATGCATCGTCGACGTGGGCGATGCATCGGCGACGTCGACTTGAAGCAAATCGGGCTCCGCATTGAGCCGTATCGGCGACGCACGCATCGCCGATGCGGCGCGATCCCCCGACCCCATCTACTCGGACCCCATCTAGGAGGCCTAGAACTTGGCGGGGCCGCTCACGCGCGCTGCGGAATGAATGCATGTGTAAGATATCCATGATATTGCTCCGAAGCTCGTTGGGGGATCATGCTGCACCCGCGCTCCTCCGAGAGGCGATCCCCAGCCTGGGTCTCAGCGGCTCGGCTGGCCTCAGACGGCAAACGCAGCGCGTCTTAAGGCCGGGTGTGGTTCCGCGGCAAGGTCAGCGTCGCCTGTCCGAAAAAGTCTGGAGCCGCGGGAACTGATTCCAC